AAAATTACCGTTATATGGGAGGTAGGCGTGGTTATTGTCCCATTTTGCCCATTTTCAATACCATCCGTCCTACACAGAACAAAGTGCACGTACCAAGTTTCGTTAAGATATCTCAATTTTTACTCGAGTTATCGTGTGCACAGACGGACGGACGGACGGACGGACGGACGGACGGACGGACAGACAGTCACCGCTTAATCGATTTCTCTTTTCATTCTGATCATTTATGTATACATTTGTCTATATCTATCTCGATTCGTTTTGCCTGTTACAAACAACCGTTATGTGAACAAAGTTATAATACCCTTGTGCACAAGTGCGCTCGGGTTTAAAGACACCTCGAGAAAAACGGGTTTAATCTTTTGAATTTACATATACCCCCATAGTAAAAATTAATACATATTTTGTTTCACTGAGCTACAACCAGCGTTGACGTTTTGGTCCAATTGGACCAAAATTGGTAGCTTCATTCTCATTTGGTAGCTTGGTTGGTTTGATGAACCTTTTGGTAGGCAAAAATGTTTTGCAAATACAACCGAATTGAGCACTAAAATTTGTTCGCTTAGTTTATGTTTACACGTTCAAACGATTTCTTAGTTTTTTTTCTATATTTTATTAAGCAGACAATTTTCTGCAAACAAAAACTAACTTCCCAAAGCTATGGTCGATCAGCTGTTGAAATAGAAAGAGAAATTACTTATCGTCTTGAAAGAAAAATTGATGATAGGCAATTTTCAATGTATGGGTGTATTGGTAAAAAAGTGCGAGTGTATGCAAATTGAAAAGAATTTGGGAATTTTTTGATTGAAATGCATAAAATATCTGATTTTGTATTTTTAATATAGAAGAATAGAGAATAGGATCGACACACACCATCTATTTGTCGATTTCAAAGCCGCTTTCGACAGCACGAAGAGAAGTTGCCTTTATGCCGCGATGTCTGAATTTGGTATCCCCGCGAAACTAATACGGCTGTGTAAAATGACGTTGAGCAATACCACCAGCTCCGTCAGAATAGGGAAGGACCTCTCCGAGCCGTTTGATACCAAACGAGGTTTCAGACAAGGGGACCCCCTTTCGTGTGATTTCTTTAATCTTATGTTGGAGAAGATAATAAGAGCCGCAGAACTGAACCGCTCAGGCACAATACTTTATAAGAGCGTACAATTGCTGGCGTATGCCGACGACATCGATATTATCGGTAAAAACAAGGGCTACGTCTGTTCTGCCTTCTCGGGATTGGATAGAGAAGCAAAGCGAATGGGTCTGGTGGTGAACGAGGACAAAACGAAGTATCTCCTGTCAGCACACAAACAGTCAGAGCATACGCGTCTTGGCACCCACGTCACTGTTGACAG